TTAAAAAATTCCACTGGAAAATGACTTAGTACTAAGAAAAATCATAACTCCGACACTGCAAATATCAATACTTTCAAAAATCGAAACTTTTTTTTTCGAGTCAAATCAATATCTAGTTCATGATTTGAATCATATATTTCAGAAATAAAGCTTACAACTTTGATTGCAAAATTTCTGACAATAGTTAATCGTTAACACCACAATAATGTCAATACAATCATTAAATAACAATGGTGATGGTTCAGATAGTGCAGTGTAAGTTTGTCGACGTTTTGTTCACTAACATCAAGACTAACATGCTAGTTACTGATCACAAGAAAAGATTTTCAAGTATGAACATACTTCTCAACTAAGACAGTGGTAACTAAATCGATCATAGCTAGCTGTATAATTCTATAACTTTGACTGAATGTTTGCATCTTTAAAGCTCTGCTATGAACCCTATTTTTTTAATCACTTCTTGACCTATTCTTAAGTTTTTCCTACAAGATAGGATGTTGTGTTTTTGATCTGAAATTTCCAACATGAGCAGATCTCATCAGTACCAGACTTTGGCACAAGTTTTAGTCGGAATGAATGCTTCTTCGGAATATTCGTTTTTGGAGCAGAACAAATACTTTCAGTTTTCAATAAGACATGAATTTCTGAAGAACTTAATCTCTCAACATAGAAATATAAATTTGAACTGTATATTTTGCGACATTCTACTGAACATGAGATCTCTATCTATTTGCAAGTTTTCTGACTAAAAACAGTTGACTTACTTTTTTCAAAATGTCTTCGAACAGCTCGAAAAGTAAGTAAAATAGGATTCATAGCTCAGCTTCAAAGGTCCATACATTGAATTCAAGTTAGGGATCTACAATATTTACTAGGATCGATCAAATAATCACAGTCACAGTATAAAACCTATTTTCTACTAGAAGATCTTACCTCATTAGATCAATTTCAATACTGCTTTCACTTTCTATTACGAAGAAATGAATTGTATACTTTTTCTGTATTTTTATTTTAGAACTGGGGCTAGTGCATCCATCCCATGGGTGATTGTCTTATTAGCTGGTATAATTTTATCAGCGTTTGCAGCTGTGGTTATACTTTCATTGATACCTGTATATCTTAGAAAGGCTGGTGCCAACATGATAACTGACCAAAACACAGGTTTGTCAATTCTCTTCTTCAGCTAAATAGTACATCATGTTCTTTGTTGAGTCGTTATTCTAAGAAATTTGGGAAGAGTACGAGAGAATAGATATAATGAAAAATTCAATTTTCTGCTGATTAATATTGTACAATAATCCTGATCAGAAAAGTACACTATGAATCTTTTATGAAAAAGATGGCATTCAAGACTGTTAAAAGTATTGAGTTTATTCATAGAAAGCTTTGATTATTTAATAACCATTTTCTCATTTTGTTCTTCAACAATAGTCAATTATTATGAAAAAAAAGATTATCTTTCATCCAAATTACAATAATCATTCTGTTTTAATGGTACTTTACGCAGACAAGATTTGTTATTTAAGAAATTGAACACTATTCATCATTTGAATGTTCCAGTTTTGTATCAAGTTTTTACAATCTCTTGTGTCTGCTAACGGCTATCTAGACAATTTTTAACAAGTGAAAGATTATATTCTATAAGGCTTTGCAATCAATAATTTCCTCTTTATTTTGTGCATCCCTTTCATCGAGGATTTTATCGATTTCTTGAAATATTATGGTAGCATATACATTATCCTATAGAGTGCATTTGATGTTTGATTCATCATTCAGTCCAATATTCATAGAGCAAGTTAGTTTTATTACATATCTTTCAATAGAATAAGATTAGGTCCAAAATTGAGATTAATCAGATATATTGTTCAGAAAGACAGGCAAATACACTCCTGAGAGTTGTGCCAGAATAACCATCGTGATCTTCTTATGTACGTAGTTTCGTTTGATGAATTGTTATTGAATGAGAGACATGAAGCTTAGAAAATCATCGAAAAGGGCTCATTTGAAGTTCTTATAAGATATTTATCACATTGCTATGATGAAGCTTTTCAAAGTTATTTTCTGTTACTAATGAAGTATACATTTTTGATATAAGTCAAAATGAAAAATATCTACAGTGATCGAAATAGAGTTTTCTGAGATAGTCCCTAGAACTAGCTGATTTTTACTTGACTTTTTTGTAATAATTGAATATTTCAACAATAGAGTAATATTTTTTCGCAAACAGTTTATATGGATATACATCAAACTCTTGCCTCAATAATACTTGAGAGAATCTGTCAAATCTGACACTATCGATTGAGCAACTTCCAGCATGGATTATGTGGTAGGACTCATATACAAAAGTTAAAGAGCTTAAGGAACTAACTAATATGTGATTTTAATAGTGAAAACTTCTGAAAGTACTAAGTAGTTTCCAGGTCAAAGACGGATGGAACTTCTACTGTCGATAGCTTTTAAACTGTTGAATAGTTACTAGGTAATGTTCGAAAATCAGAAGGACAAAATGCTAATCTTCAACAAGAAAATGCAGAGAAATGTTGCTTCCACATGCCAAATTCACAATAAAATGCGAAAACTTATACTTATCATAGTTAAAATCAAAATTAAGTAATCAATAACATAGATCAGTAATAGATGTAATTTTTTTTTGCTATTTTTTATTTAATGATGAATATTGTAGCTCACTAATACCATAAGAAATTGATCAAGAAAATAGCATCAGAGTTGACTTCAGCTCTAAGTGTGGTTAATATTTTCAAATGCATAGAATGAAAACTTTGAAGTTCACTAAATTCTGACAAGAAAGCATCATCTTGTAGAAATAACATTCAGCATATGCTATCTAGAATAAAAATGATAGAGAGAGAGTGTGTATCATAAATATTTTCCTTTTATTCAATCTTACTTAACATTTGCAAATCAATTTCTTTTGTATATGAATTATCTTCGAGTAACTTTTTCATATAATGACTTAGGTTTTTGCAAAAATTCTATGACAAACGATTGCCTATTTTGATCATTTATTTTTCTATTGTAGAAACTGATAACATAATACGAACATTCGTCACAACTACGATACTACTCAATAATCAGAGTGCGACAGTCGTTAACTTTAATCAATTAGCTCGACAAGTAATCATATTTCCATTATGTATTATACATATCTTAACTAACTAAATTAAAAGAAATTCTAGATAGAAGCTTCCTATCGTTTGCCAGTAGGCTCAATAAGAATCATTAATATTGTGATTAGTGGTGCTACAACAAATACTGGTAGTGGTCGTCGTCGTCGTCGTAAACTTTACAGAAAAAAACGGCAACTGTGCGTCTACATTTTGCATGATTTCTTTTTTCTAATGCATTATTTCTCAACATTTGTATAACTGTGTAACAGACCTAGTTGTGCTCAATTCGGATCTACTAGCTCATTAGTGCAAATCACAATGCGTATAGTCTACCCGAGAAGGTGTGGCTTTTCACCAGCTTGCAAAAGCAGATTTGCCAATGCTATTTTAGCTCGTTTTAATACATTTGCTCCGAGTATTCCAGTAACATTCGTATTCGCTGACGGACGCTCCATTCAACTCGTGTTATTTCCTTGCAATGGGGCAATTGGTGTTGTTCCATTGGTCAGTATTGCAAGTATTACAGCCACAACAAGAGGTAAAAAGTGTTCTGTTTCATAGATTTTGGTATGTGTTGGCATGTATTATTTTCGATTTTTAGTTTTGAAAACTTAACTTAGAAGCAAAAGTTTAAAACATTGAGCGGTCTACAATTTTGTTCTGGAATAATCCTCAAAGATAAAAATTGATCAACTAGTGAAACCTAATATTTAAAGAATATTGAATGCCGTATCTTTTTTGAAGTTCATAAGTCAAAAAAAATCGTATTATGTATATGTTTCAGTGTAGTACAGTAACCGACAGAAGTATTCCCCCTTGGATCTCAGTCACAATATGAGCTGTAGACCTGAAAACTAGTGCACACATAGTTCTCAACGAATGCTGATCAGCCACACCATCCCCATCCCCGATTCCATGAAGTATAAGAAAGTTATAATGTATGCAGTCTGTCTCTATTGTGAGCTTCATAACTCAAGAACGGAAAAACTTTATGAATTGAAGTTGGTTTTATTTTGTAGCTCTACAC